TCATCCAAGGTACATTCATACTGCATGACATACTAATTTCATGTTAACTGTAGGCTAATATAGTTTGTGAAATAAAAAATCTTATCTGTTTATTAAATAGAACAAGTAAACTCGTATAATATAAATCGTCGTGACATACATACATAGGAGACATATTTAACATGAGGTATAAGATTTAAAAACATGAGATTATTAATTACCTCTGCAACTGAATTATCAATGTCATCCTCCTCCAGGAGGTCTTCCGCCACGTATTCATCTGGAGTAGCGAATATGTAATTCGGCAGATCATCATCCACGTAAAGCTTTATCACTGAGTTTGTTATTCCATTAGTTTGGAATGACCTAACGAAGCAGACAACATGCACCCCTTTGATTTTTTTCTTATGTTTTCCACTAAGCTTATCGCCTGCCAAAAGTTGAATCTGTGTTCAGTAAACATTCGTTATAATTTGTACAATCTTTGTATCCATGAAATTTACCTCTTCATTTGCATGTTGCAGTTGCAGATCCGTTTTTCTGAGTAGTTTTTCCGCGTCCTGCCCATAGGCCACCGCGTCAATGGAGTCGGTTCCATCCTGAATGGTAATTGGAATCCTAGGCCTGTAATAATGGTGTGGGATATGTATGGAGTCGAACATGTATGTAATATTGTTTAATGTCTAGAAAGAATATGCATATAAGACATTATTACTTTGCGAATATTTGGCTATCTATGTTGCATGAGGTGCAATGAATTTGAGTGGTGACTGGCAGTTCAATTTTTGTAAGCAATGCATGCATGCCCCAATCCACAGCGGTTGTTGCACACAGCCAAGAACCACTGAACCTTCTATCCATGTTGTTTGAATCTATTGGGAATATTAAGTGTTATAGTGGCGGATAAATAATCAAACAAATTAGCAATGTTAGTTTTTAATTTGTGTGTTCTATTTAACTGAAATACCGTATTGTTAGGAGTGATGAGTGTGTGCACAGTCTTTATGTCCTTAGGGTGTGGCGGCGGCAGCAAGACCGAAGTATTTTTGTAAGCTTCAGTTGCAATAAGTTCTGTAACAACAGTTTTCTCCTGCAGGTACCTGCGTTAATCGGGCACAACTATTAATATGTTATTTATGCAGCATGTATTATTCAATCAGAAATTTGTAATCTGTTCACCATTGCTTGAGGCCAGCAGCTTCAGGTGTTGGTGGATTGATAAGTATACAACTTGCAGCTCTAGTCGACAACGAAAGTCTTATTTACGATGTTCATTAAATTGTTTAGAAATGTTTAAAACATGAGTGGTTAATGGTGTATTCTGAATTTTACTATGCAATGTTGTAACTTTAACACGCATAGCAAGAACCACGTTCCCTGCATTAATGGTGTTAGCCAACTGGGAGCCTTCATCCACAGCAAAATTATTCCACAGAGTGAGTATCATTGGAATCCTCCTACATACATATAATTTTCGTAAGGCCATGAAATATGCTTTCACGCAAAACTAATTAACATGTGCAGGCGAAGTAGAGCTCACTCATGATTAACCAATACGATGTCCCTATTCATTGTCTGTAATCCAATTTGTTTCACCTCAAATGTGTGTGCCACAACACCCTGAATGTCTGAAATGCAAAACTGGTAATTAAAATATGGACAACAATGGTGAGCGTCACACAATTAATCAAATATTAGATTTATTATTTATAGCAGTAGGGCGACAAGAAACAAAACAAGGTACCAGGTAAAAGGCAAACAAATAACAAACATAAAGGATTGGTTTGAAATTATCATGCACTACATATCCTAATTATGGAAGTATAAAGTATCTTTTTCCCCTTATGTGCATGCAGTACCCAAATCTGAAATGAAATCAGAGCAACCAATCAATTAAAATAAATAAAAGAAAGAAGGGACCATCACGACAATAGGGAAAAATTTGGAAAATGTTACTAAGCTAACCAAATTCGCAAAGTTTTCATTCTTGGTACCTCAAGTAGACGGCAACAGATAAGTTATTGCAAGTGTAAATTATCAGTTCTTACATTTATCTATATGGTACCATTTGGAGGTAGGTCCTATAGGAAAAAAACATTTAAACCCTATGTGACCGTATGAAATTAGAAAATAACCATTTAATCTATATAATCAACGAAAAGAGCACACTACATTGTTAGTTGAAACTACTCTAAACCCGAAAACTAAAGACCAGAAGAATTTAAGATAACGGATGCATATAGTGAGTTGAGTGACTGGTAATCGTTCAAAGAAAAAATGGCATGTTGTAAGAAAAGAGAAAATGTAACATTGGAGTACATGTAATTTTTTTTGTCGTAAGGGACTCAATGATGGCCAAAGAAGTTTTATAAGGTTGTTTCCTCTTTTGAAGTGTGCATACATCAATGATATTATTTTACTGATTTATCACAGGGAATAAGAACCTTGGCATCAGATTTTACACAACATATGATACAACCATATAAAAATGAAGAAAGACGTACTTTGTAAATCTTCTGTGTTTACAAATCGTTGTAGATTGCCAAACCTTAGGCACTCTATAGGGCAGAACATTTGGTCCACCACTTCATCCTCACAGGGCTCAATCAAAGTATCGTCGTTGATGGTCCACGTGAACTGATAAGAGCCAATTTTGTCGCTCTCATTTGCCTTTTCCAGCGTAGCCCCAGACACATAGTACTTTTTCAACGGCATTAAAATTGGCAAGCCTGGCGGCATTTTTTCGTTGTACGTGATTGCCGATACTTTCGTACCCTGTATAAAAAGATTCATTCTGAAAGTATGCAAGATAATTACCATATTAAATGGTCAATGAACGAACCCAGAAAGCACATTAATTAAAACGCGTCTTACATCCAAATCGACTAATACGAAACGATGATATGAGACTTTTGGATCTTTCTCACTGACTAACGTGCGGCCCTCTTCGAGAACCTGTACCAACACTGTCCACCCACGAACTTTTGGTTCGATTCGAGCAATTGGAATTGTTCTCTTCATTGTAATAACCTAACAATATAAAATGTGAGGGTGTGAATGTTTGAAGAAAAATTAACAACACATTTAGAAGTTAAAAGATGCTGCAAATAACATACCTTTGTTTGCAGGGGTGACGAAGAGAGTGTTATGTTGTTGAAGCACGGCATAAAAATTGTGCTTTTGTAATAATTCGTCAGACCCGTTAGAGGACTGTTGAATGAAAAAAATCTGAAATGATTAATGCTGTCCCACCAACGTGCCGTGCAAGCTTAAAATCTCTCATGTAACAAAAAATTAACAACTCCATACCCATGTTGAAAAAAACTGTCACAAGCAATTGTTAAATCTATTGTACTGTGATAGATTAAAATCTGCTACATATGTCTCTCAATCGTGTCAAATCTCACCAAACCTAAAAAAAAAAATAAAAGAAGTCACTCTTGAAGAGACGGTAATTGTTCCTTACCGTGTATCCCGAAAACGCGATTGAGTCGTGCGTGTCTAAAAAAAGGAGCATCATTGTCATCGTCTCGCCGTTACAAAAAATCTTGGTCATAGTTTTTAATTGGTAAAGGCAAGAGATGTACGGTAGTCCTTTGGTGAATGGATAAATAGGGTTATAAATTACAGTGGAGGATTTTATTGTAAACATGTATTATATTTGTTATAAGAATTAACCATAGCAGAGAGAATACAAATAGTCAAAATATAAATGATTATATGAATATGAACATATAGTAATACTTAGTTGTCTCATAATTTTTTTTTTTTTTAATTTTGATGTTAAATTGAAGACAAAAGAATGAAACGAATGTTGGAAAGAGTTTTTAGATTTCTTAAATTGAATACGTATTTATGTAGGCAGCCTGTAAATCCTGAATTATGTTTGAATTTTAAAGGGTGATTAAATTTCGATAATGAGTGTAATTTTTTGTTACTGATGCATACAGTTAGAGCTTGTTGTTTGACGACATTCTGTTCATTCAGATGAAGGGGAACGCCTCAGTTAATATGCGAGCGAAAAAGCATGACAAAGGTGTACATTCATGTCTAGTGTATGCACAAGTATTTCGGCCATTTTTTAAAACTACTTTGCCTTTAAATGTTGTTTACATAATGTTTTTTTTTATTCAGTCACCTTACGACATTCATCTTATAGGCACAAAATGTTAACAATTATATGGGTTAATCAAATTTTACATGGGTCTGGCCTTTACCCAAACTAATATAAAATAATTGAACCCATTAATACTTCTTTAAGGGTGAATTAGTCTTGCCAGTTTAAAAACTGTACAAAATTTGTATAAATGTATAATTTCGGCAATTGTAGCTTTTTTACTTATATTAAATTTCAACCGGTAATTTTTCAACAAATAATTTGTTGTAGGAAACTAATTATTTGTCGATTCATTAGTATATTATTTTTTAGGACATTTTTTAGTGTTGTTATTTTGTTTTTCTCATTAAAATTTATCAGAAATTATTGTTTGTGTAGAATTGATTAATTTTTAGGTAATGTGTTTTAGTTAATTAAAACATATAAACATTAATTTGTTTATTTTGTAATCTTGATTTGCATAAGTAACATATTTTGTGGTGAAAATATGACATTTAGTGACTAATAGCCATTTTTAATTTTTTTATCAACAATATATCAAAAGTATTTGCAATTAGCAAAAGAAAGTAGTATCATTCCATTGACACACAGTCTAGATAGAGAGTACATCACAAAACGCCATCTTAATACTACATGGATGGCTAATAGAGTTGGAAACATTCTACCGCAACTATCAGACAACAGCAGTCAGAGTTGCACAAGGCTAACCTAGAATGTTCACAAAAGCATGCAACAACACCATCCCAAGCTTGCACATGATAGGCCCGGATGTTCACAAAAGTAGGCAGCAATACCAATCAAAAGTAATAACCTAACAGGTGTGCACAAAGCATAGAGCATAACACCACGAAAGCACGTTTTTTAACAAAAGTATGTACAAATCAGCAACGCCAAAGTAGTGCGCTTAGTTGCGAGGTTTCTTGAGCGGCCTGGATGGAACTGCTGAACTGCTTGCACTTGCAGCCTCGCTAAAGGATCCATCGCTGCCGATTGTGTCAAGTGGAGGATCGGAGGATGAAGTACCAGTGTCGTCTCCAAATACCAAGGAGCGTGCTGCGGTCGATTTTGATGGACCAAGAATGTCGGTGTTCATGGGCGCACTTGCAATTTCTTCCAAGCATGCCTTCGTGCTTGGTGTAAATAGCTGGACATCAGGCTCAGGCTCGGGCGCGGGGTCAGGCACAGGCTCGTTCTGTTTGTAGTCAGGAGCAAACGTAGTGAGCATTTTTTTTTTGGGCTCGTAGGTTATAGTTAGAGTAATCAGGAAGACTTTGACATGTGTGTTACCTGTGCAGCTGCATGATCTATGTCATCCTCATGTAAGAGCCCTTCAATTTCATCCATATACAACCTCACAATTGTATAGCTTTGGCCGTTGCTTTGGTACAACCTCACATAACAAACAAGATGGTGGTTCTTAATCCTCACGCCAATTGGTCCGAGCAAGTCCACAGCCTGTGTTAACATAATGTAACAGCAATTGAAGGCACACTATCATTAGGCACAGAGTTCAAATAATGAGACCAATGCGAAATGTTTTTTTTTTTCTTTAAGTTTGTGTACACAAATAGAAGCTGCAAGTAAAGGAGACATTAGACCTCTTTTTCAGCATCTTTCAATTCAGCACCAGTACGGCCAGCTAGCTCTTCACCATCAATTGTGTCTGTCTCATCTTCTATGTAGATTGGAATTCTTGCCCTATCAAAACATTAAATGTTTAGGGTTTTCATTTTTATTTATTTCCGTAGTTTTATTATATTTATATAGTTGTTCAACACCAAAAAGTACATTGCCACAATTTGGCTCTGCTGGTTGCATGAGCTGCACCTTATATCAGAACCCACTTCAAGGTCGAATTTTTTCTGGCAGTTCGAGCAAGCGGCAAACCAAAGTGGCTGGTTGATTAGTCCCAAAGTTAACTTCCTTGAATCCAAACAGCTTTGACCTGTTGTACACAAGAATTTGTGGTTGTAGTACGGTGTATGAGTGTTCATCAATTGTATGCCACAACTATTTTCTATACTTATTTGAATATGATGCACTTACATTGTTAGCAGGATTCAAGTAATTTTCGATAGTCATGATGTTCTCATCAAGTGGCCTTGGAAGCAATGCAGCAGGATCTGTGAATGCTTTGGCTGTAATGAGATTGTCAATCTCCAACCTATTTTGTATGTACCTGTGCAAAAGAATGTAGAAATCATGTGGTCACAACAATTTTACATGATTTTCATTTTCTTAATATGCAATTGAATTATACCACTGCTTGAGCTCATTTGCCTCGGGCATCGGTGGATTTATGAGTATTGCACTTATTGATTTGGTGGAGAGCGAGAGTCCTGCCGAAAGTTAATACCTTAGGGTTAGTGTGTTGCAAAGTATATATTATGAAAGTATAAAGAAACAAACACGCACAAACCATTGAAAGTTGTCACCCGAACACGCATTGCAATGATTATGTTTCCTGCATTGATACCAGTGGCTAGTTGT